GATGGAAGTGGCCGGATGTGGAACGGGCACAGGGGTTATCAGTTGAAGGAGAAACAAATTGTGGTGTATTGAGAAAAAACGTTTTAAGAATTTATTTAAAATGGTGGGTAATTAAGTCATTCTACTTATGGTGATTTAAGTAAACAAAAATATATATTAAAATTGTGGTGTAACAAGTAAATTTTGTTGTGGTAATATAGTTACCCTAATGTAAATTGTCTTAACTTAGCCAAATATTCATCCAAGCGAAGGGGACCCAGTTTAAGTCTTAGAAAAAATTATAAGATCAATCCTTAAACTACAACGATTTAATAAAATTTTGCAACAGGATAGTTTGGAAAGACAATCAAATCATAAGCTTCAAATATCTAATTTCTACATGCTGGTCGGTAAATATTTTGCAAGTCAACGCCAATGATCTAGGTCAAACCTTTATAAATGCATTTTTTTGGATTTTATTTAAGTAGAAATTACATGTCACCCTACTTTTAAAGATCAATATTCTAAAATCAGAGTGAATGTTTCATTGTTCAAAAATCAAATATAAATTAAATTAATCTGCATATTCAACCCACCCCATCCAACTCCATCCCCTCCCTCTCAATTTTAATCACAAGCTCTAATATATTTTTCCCTCGCTTCTCTCTCCATTCTGTGTATCGATGGTCTTCTCGATCACTTCTCTCCAGTATCGCACCGGAGGTCAATCATCGTCGGTGACTACTGCGAACCAACGTCAACGCTACTGTTACCGCAACAACAGCGTCTGCTTGAGTGGTGGAGATGACTGGACATGTGTTGGTGGGGAGAAAACTGGTGATGAGGGTGAGTAGATCGGTGGTATTTGTAGTTTTGGCTGTTAGAAAAGATGAGATGTGCTAATTAGTGGAATTTTGAAGATAATAATTCTACAAAAAAAGTTAAGTACATAAGTACTGCAAACTTTGAGAGCCTCGAGTGAAATAAAAATATACTGCGACTAGTAAAAATTACAACATGTATATAATTACAAAACAAATCGATTTTATGAGTTTAAAAGAGAAACGACTTGCCATGTAGATATACCACCTTTATTGTCCACATGAACAATATGTTAACTATGTGATCAATCATTGTACGGAATGTTAACCCAATGACCAAACTGAAATTCTAATGCAACTTCCATGATTTAAATGGTGCGAAACAAACTTTAATGACTAAAACGAAAGTTTTTGATCTAATAATCATGTGAAAATTACACCAAACCCTACTTTTCAAAACTTATTTTCCAAAATAAGATTTCAAGTTTTACTTTTCAAAAATCAGATATTTTTAATTATATATATATACAAATTATATTTTAATTTCATCCCAAATCAAACGTAAATTCATTTCTCTCCCTCTTCGTCTCTCAATTCTCTCCATTTCCGTCACCGACGACTTGATGGAGCATCGGCGGAGGCGGCCGCATTCGTTGGAGTGGTTGTGGTTAACGTCGTGTGCCGCCACCAGCAAACTTAAATCGGACCACCTCAAAATACTCATCAATGGCAAGTCTTGAATCGAAGAGACTGCTGGCACACAGCCTAGAGCCATCGCCTCCACCATCCACGCCACGTCGTCGCCGTAAAAAAGCAAACAAAATTTACTGGTTTTGACATTCCCCACCCGATCTAAAGAATCTCTTTCTATATCAACCAAGAAATCACCATCTTTCTTCAATTCCTCCACAAAATTTGACTCCGTTTTTCCATCCCATTTGAAGTAACCAAAAAACGACATTGTTGATGCATTATCCGGTGCAGCAGAGATGATGCTAGCGGATGGTTTCAGGGAAGGTAAAGTGATGTCCTTAGGCGGGATAAAGTTACCGGAGATAACAGGGAAACAGAAATCTGCACAGAATTTTTCTTCAGCTCGAGAACATTCCGGTTAGCTGAATAATCAATACCCGCGGGTGATAAGAAGAAATGATTAGCACCGAGTGTGCGATTCCAGTAAGGATGGTTGACATATAAATTTTGAAATATGTGATCGACGAATTAATTGTAACCTACAAATTTTTTTTATATGTGACCATTAAAAAATCCGTGACCAACTAATTTGAGAATATGTGACCTGCAAATAAACTATGAAAAGTTACAATCGAGTGACCATTTGAAATTAAATTGTGACCATTAACAAGAAATTTAAGTCATGTGCAAAAAACCCATGTGATCTGCACTGTGACCATTTGAAATTAACTTGTTAATATAAAAAAAAAAACATGAGCCATGTGCAAAATATTCTGTGACCTATGTTGTAGCCATTTGAAATAAACATGTGATTATCAACAAAACCCTGAGTCATGTGCAAAAATATTCTATAACCTGTACTGTGGCCATTTGAAAATAACCTGTGACTATGAACAAAATCCTGAGCTACATGCAATATATTCTGTGACAGGTGTTGTGACCATTTGAAAATAACTCGTGACTATTAACAAAAATATGAGACATGAGTCTTATCATGTTATCAATCATTATAAATAAACAACCATGCGTTGTGACTTGTGACCGGACTGTGACCACACAACAGGTAAGCTGTGACCATCAAATGCGAACGATGTGCTGATAGTGGTCACAAATGTACAAAAAAAATATGGCAGAGTTGTCGCCGAAGTTGGAACAATTGATGGAATCGAAGCAGTCGCCGGAATAAATCGACGGTGGAATGGTCATCGAAATATTCACCAGAATCGGAGCAGTCATCGGAACGATCGCCGGACGATTGTCGGAGCGGCAGGGTGGTGGAGATGGGGTGGGTTATATATATATATATATGTATGTATATGTCAAAAAATCTAATTTTAGAAATTTCAAAGTTGTTTTCTTATTTTTGAAATGGTAGGTTGGGTAGATCTTATTTATGAATTTTTCCCTTAGTTTTTACCTTAATAGTAGTACAAGCCTGTTAATTATGCATTAAATAAATTAGCTAAATTTTTTTCAAATTTTTTGTGATCATGGAATATTACAAATGTGCAACATTTTTATATTATATTTGGTACATAAGAATTAATTGCTAAAACATGAATTTAAACTTCCATTAAAATTCCTAGATATATGAATAGAAATATATCTATCTATAATAACTCTAGATTCATGCATATGAAGATTTATCAAGTCAAAATTCATTGAGTCTAGATTAATGCGAATTTTATAGTATTTGTTACGTATATGGAAAAACGAAAAGTAAGGTATTATTGAAATAATTAAATTGTAATAAGGTTAAAATCGTCCAAAAAATGATTCCGTGATATTCCTAAAAGGGTGGTTATATTACCACCACAATAAATATTTGGTACACCACAACTTTCTTATTTACTTAAATAACCATCTTTATAATGACATAAATATCTTATTTATTATTCACTCATTTATTTATTCGTTCTCTCACCATAATCCGTACACCACAAAAAATAATGGGAAATACCTGTAAATGGCCCAAATTCAAGGCCATAATTCCAAAATGGCCTTTGACTGGCCTTTGACTATTTTAACATTTTAAACTACCTAAAATACCCTTAAAATAAAAGGTTTTAAAACAAGTCATTTTAGTCCTTAAACTTTAA